TGTTCTGTACAAAGTTTTTAAGTGCTTGTTTTGGTACATGTATCGAACTATTTGTTTAAAAGGATTTCCCACAAATTTCTCAAATTTGTTTTAATCTCCTGAAAAAGATCTTAGTAGATAAAGGCAGTGGTGCACTGATGGTCCATTGACTTACCAGCTGAGCTTATCGGACTGGCAGGTGTCCGCTGGGATTGTGACTTTAGGAAAATTTGATTTGCTCGCCCATTTACTTCAATACATAAGATCATTTTCTTTTTTAAAGTAATTCTTTCTATTTCACATTGTGGAATCCACTTGGTAAAAACTTCAACCTTGGGGATGTGTCTCAGTGCTTGCATTAAGTATATGCACCCTTCTCATGATGAAAATGCAGAAATGTTGAACTTAACGACCGTGTTATTCAAATTGTGCAGAAGTTCTAAAGCACTTTTCTGGCAACAACTGTCACGTTTTCAATGATCAGGGGCGAATGGGCTGCTGGCTCGTAAACTTGCCTTGCAAAAACAGGTTCATACCTGCCAGAGAGTCACGGTTTATTACATAACTTGTGACTGGTTCACTGCCAAGTTTTGCTTAGCATGTGAATTTGCCAGTTGAGATATGCTGCCCTACCAGCTCTGTGAAATCAGTCAGAATGTTAACAGATGCTCAGCAGAGCTCATGGTTCCCAAACAATTGACATATGGGTCATTCCACGAACTTCGGGCACAGTTTGTGATGGCGTCCCTTGTTACATCAGTGAAAATAAACATCTTTTTTCCCTGCATGTGGATTCTAAATTGACATTGTTCTAAATCTTGCTAGGTTCATGTAGTGGTGTGCTTCATCTTTGCTAAATAATGACTTAATCTGCTGTAATGTGAAAATAAAAGGCAATAAAAGTTACCAATGTAACAAGGGACGCCGTCACAAACTGTGCCCGAACTTCATGGAGTGACCCATATGTGACCATGCGAATTTTATGCCACCCACGTGGTAGCCAGCAAGAGTCGACTGTAGAAACCGACATCATTTAAAGACGAGATCTGGTCAAGGCTACTGATTGAACGGCAGTTGTCAGGTGATCAGACCAGCTAACCAGATTTAGGGGGACTCTACAGAAAGCATGTCCGAGAGTGTTCCATCTGGGCAATAAGTTTTTCTGAAGTTTTGGGTGGCAAATATGCACCAACGTCAGGCCAACTAAACCAGTCTGCATAGTACGACCTGCACAACTCAGGGACTGATTCATGAGTGCTAACTTCTTCCTTACAGCATCAAATTGCTGCAGCTAAAGACCCATAAACCCATGTCAGCCGATTGGCCAAATTGTAGAGGTCAGAAGGGTATCATTTTGCATAACTCATCAGTAAATGTGCTCAGATATCAGAAACACTCATTTGCAAGCTAGCATCTATTATATAAATCCAGGTCCTAGAAAATTGATTTCTAAAACTTTTTTGTACTCCGATCCTAGAGATTCAGGTCTGGAACCGGACCACATTTACGCAGATCTGACGAAGATACGAATCACCAAGAGGATTTGGAAAGACTTACCGGGTTATTAATGACTTGAGGTCCTTGCGGGTATGACGGCTGTGAGGGGTACCCTGGCTGTGAGGGGTAAGCTGGCTGAGATGGGTATGCCGGTTGGGCTGGAAACGAGGGCTGGGCTACCGGTGGGGCAGGGTATGCCGGTGCGGCTGGGTAGGATGGCTGGGCCGGGTAGGCCGGTTGAGATGGTGCGTACTGGGGCGGAGGGGCCGGACCCGTTGGATACTGGGGATTTTTATTGACAATTAAAGAAGACATGAAATGACAAGGAATGAAAAACAAGATCCAGGACATCACGTGAAGGGGTAAAATATTCAACAGCACATTCCACAGGATATATACTTTCGTGGAGGAGGTTAAAGAAATGTCTAAATAAAATAATTATGAAGTACAAGTATGTAACAATTACTGACTGTTATACAGAGGGATATAATGTTAAAACCCAAGGGACTCCGGCTACGTGATATGCACACAAGGAAGGATGTAGTACGCATTTTTATCAACCATGATCTCGTGATCACAATCTTTCTAGGCCAATAGAATTCATATCACATTCACGTACTTCTTGTCAAGAACAAAAGAGCCAGTTTGGTTCTCCAAAAGGTTAAGGTCATTTGGGAACAAAGCACATATACAAGTCGGCATATGGCCACGATGATAGGACAAAAGCCCTCTCTCACGCACATTGCCATACCCAAATGACCTTAGACATGCTTCATTTTGGGTGTGCGCCCAACTGGCTCACTGTAGTATTGAAAGCGAGTGGTTCCCTGTCTCCGCCAAGTGTTAGAGGCTGGCTGAGTACTTACAGCAGGTGCAGAAGGCATGGCTGTGTGGGCAGGTGCTGCCAGCACAGGGGCTGGAGTGTAGCCACCTTCCATGCGTATGGTGTATATTCTGACGTCACCATTGATTGTGATGTGGGAAATCCTCTGTAGCTTCTTGATGTAGTGCGGGTAAGAGATGTAGTGTTCGCCGTTAAGTGCAATCTGACAAAGAAAAAAAGCATTGGTGAGATAGCAATGGAAGGAAACCCTAAAGCAATCCTTACAGATACTTTTTGTTACCGATGCATTACTAGTTTTAGGAGTGCAAGGAAAAGCCTTGAATTATAGTGCTGGGGAATCCAATGTAAACACAGCAGGATTTTTACTTCGCGAGGGGGAAAAGCCTTGTGGTTTTTCTGCAGCTGATTTCACGAAACTTTACGCAATGGCGTAACTCCACTTACACCATTTTATTGCGTAAGTTATGCAACAAATTTAGACAGATTTCACGAAACACTGTGTAAGTCCGCGACTTACGCAACAAATTATGGCGTAACTTACGCAGTCATCTTAGGTGGAGTAAGTTGTGCCGAACGAAGCGAAAATGAATGATTTGACTTGTTTATCGGGACCGGTTATGCCTCATCATTGTTGAAGTTATTAACGATTATATGAGAAATGAACAACTTTGTTCCAGAAGATAATAATAAACTTGTCTGGCTGTGAGAAAACTGCGAGACTTTTTGTCCGGTTCCAACGAAGAAAAGACGAAATCTTTATTCAAAATGGCGGGCAGAGGTGATTCAATGACTGTTTGATAACTGATGTTATATTGGACAGGAACACTAGTTGTAAAAGCCGTTTTTGTCCTCGTTCAAGAAATTTAATTTTATTAAAACGTGGCGCAGCTACGCAGCTTTTCATGAAATCAAACGTAAGCAAATTGCGCAGCTATTGCATAAATTTATGGCGCAAGGCTTACGCATGGTTCAAAGTTATGCCACATTTTGTGAAATCGGCTGCTGGTGGCCTACATGAATACATGCCATTACTGCATATCACTGTCAATACAATCATTGATACTTCTACATCCTGTACCCAAAAGGCAGACTGTAACAATGAAGAAATGTCCCTCCAACAGTGCAGTGTAAATGTTTGTTCAAAAAGAAGCAAAACTCTGTGAATATTCAAACAAAACCCTGCCTAACAGCTTCAATTTACAAAACTCTGTTTTATAGCTCCGTGATGTAACCAAACAAACATGACCCGGAATGTAATGTATAAGCACTCTAAACACTCAACATCTTCCCTAAGGTTCCCTCCTCCAGCCCAAACCTTCCCCAAAATATAGGCCTCCCCAAGGAAAGAACACCAAGAAATCCTGAACTATTTCTTTCCTCCTACAGATGAATACACAATGGCTCCAAAAATATAGTTTGAAATGTGTGAATTTGAAACCATCAGAAATTTGCCAGGTTTTATCAGTAAACCCAACAAGCACTGTTACAGAGTCTTGCTACAACAAAATCCTGTTTATTCTTTGTTTTTCTGGTCCTATCGTAACAATTTCCCGGTTATAACAAGGTGATATGATATTGGTTGACTGCATTTCAAATGTTTGGGTTTACCTTGAACTGTGAAGCCTCAGCATTGATGATCATTTCAAAGTTCTGGCCCCGCTGGAGGACATTCTGGACTTGTATCTCCTGACCCCAAGTCATCTTCTTGAAGTGGTTGACCACGGCCACGCCTTGGCCAAAGGAAGGGCTGAAGGTCAGCGCTATGTCATCCAGGGGCACCTGCCTCAGACCACAGGCCAAGTTTACTGCAAACCTGTAAAAGGTTAAAGGTCAAGAGTGGAGACAATCAGCCCTATTGGACAGATGACACGTGCAGGGAGGTACTCCTGGGGGACACACTTTGCATTTATCCATGCATCAGTTTCTTTTAACTGAAAAAATTTCTTTCATAAGTATTTAAATTTACACCAGCATTTTTGGGACTCCTTTTCTGGTTTAAAAATGTGAACACTCACATAATTGTTGGGTTATTTACCCCACAGAAACAACAGTGAATTTGCGAGCAACTTAAATCATCAATGTTGGTATACATAACAACATACATATATCACTCGACTCAACTACCTTTTTTATTCAACTAGTTATGGTAAAATCTCCTCTCATCAGTTACTGGTCTGTCTAGGCCTCGTTGCGCACATTACAATGCTCTTCCTGAACCAAGCTTTTTTTTTGGCACAATGACTCCTTCTGACATGTAAACATACCTTAGAGCATTAGGATTGACATAGCCCTGGATGAAGAGCATCTTCCCTGGTGACATATTGCCTGGGATGATGCCAGAAAAGGGAATGCCCTGTAGACAGTGAGCAGCACAATAAAAGGCTCTCAGTAAATCCACTTCTAAAATACATGTAAACCGTTCCCATCAAACTTGATCACCAACATGTCACGTTTCCCATGCCATTCGAAGTAAAAGAGCGGGTAACTTTTCAGTTTTAAGATTTGCCAGAAAAAATGTATTTTCAATCTCTTTGACAAAAACACAAGACTGACATTTCTAAACATCTTAGTTTACAAATTCATGGATGGCCAAACATCAGACGCACGTTACTCACTGGATTGGTGGTGATGACTGTACTAGCCATATTTGCGTACAGTGTATTTCTTATGACCTACTGAAAAAAGACAAAACATGAACATAAATGCCTCAACTCTGCATAATGCACTTGCAATCCAACACAATTTTCCATCATGTGGTGTTGACATGTTAACATGCCTGGTTAATGGCAGTGAAGAACTGTATTTACAGGCTAGGGCTTTACACGTATCTCTGTGCTCTGTGAGCCTTCTTCTTTGCATCTGATTCTCAAAATACAGTTTCCCTGTATGGATTCAAACTAGTCCATGAGTGGGAATATCACAGACCGAGGACAGAATTGAAACTTTAAAGGAAATATTACTTGTTAACTTTCAGCTTCAACAAGTGACATTAAAGTGCCTTTAAAGATTCAACATTTCAATACTTTAATGTTTAGAAATAACAGATTTATAGAGTACTATTACAATAATTGCACAAAGCATATACTGAAATTTTCAGGTTCGGAACTTATTCTGTTCTTTTAAGATTTTATATGGCATTTAACAACAGAAAACAGAAAACTTGCATGATACTTGTTTAATGGATTTTTAAACATACTTGGGTAAAGACCACAGCCACTCAGAAATTAGAGAACCACCAGACAATAAGGGGAAATCTGGAATGGCTTTTTTAATCTGTTGAACTGAAAATACACACACTTCAAACCAACACCAGGATTCAGTTCAGATCTTTATCGGTACAGATTTATTGTTCCCAAACCATTCAATGTTTAACCTTTGATAAAGGGCATGCTGGCACTAGCCTTTCTGACAGACCCACGTCATCACAGCGCCTCCTCACGTGACTTGGGAACAAGATCAACTTTCGTTTTGGAAAAAATATGTGCACAAAGGTCAGACAGAAATGGTCAGCACAAAGTTGACTGATTCATGAAGGCATGTGAGAGACCACACATGATTTTATCATGCTATAAACACATGCATGGCACAGGCCCTGCGGTGTACATGTAGTAATGAATTAGCCAAGTACATGTAATTTTGCCATGGACATGCATAGCCAAGTATTAAACGAACAAATTGACAATTTTCAGATTTAACCCCTTCTCGACAGGAATTTCTTTCCGAAGGCTAACTCCAAGAATTCCAGCCTCACTTGGCCACGAAGGCCACCTGCCAAACCCCAAATTCTCGGTTTGTGGCCCAGCGTGCTCTGCACGCTTTGATTTACACGGTGAACAGGCTGATTGTTCAATGGCATGAGGCTCTACTCAAGCTTCCACATTCCCGTTGCCTCTTTTCCAAGTGGGGACTATTGTGAAGCTGGTGATTATGATGTAAAATTGGTCTTTTCATTTCTGGACTACACACAAAGACCAATTACCATATACACAAGAGCCAGTGTCTGCCTTCTTTCACCGTGTTCGCTCGAGCGTGGGCCGAGAATAATAGCTGAAAAGTGGGCTGAGGATCTCAATTTTCGCGGCGTGTCTTAACGCGTCCAGGCGTGAAGGGGTTAAGGAAACTTACTCATAAAAACTCTGGAAATATATCTAATTTTCTTCCTCTCTGTACTGAAGAGCATACTATTGTGCATCCTCTTTCCCCAGTTTTCCAAATGGAATAATGCTTGCAGAAATAAAAAACCCTCACCGCAAACTCCCAAATCTTCCTGCAATAATCAGTCAGTACACCAACTATCACAGTTCACGTATCCCCACCAATGCAAGAGACACGACCATCCAGGCTGCAAGTGAATGCAGGAAACTGAATTGGAATTCGGGGGAAACTGCTACACATAAGACCACATATGCACTTTTGGGAGGGGGGGTTACAGACAGGTGTCCACACTATTGCCTGCCCATGCACTCATTTTTTTCAGTTTCTGAAATTAGGGGGTAAGGTTTGTCAAATATAATCTAAGAATCAAAACAAGGCTTAGGTACAAATCAATAAATGAATAATCATTTATTGCCTCCTAAGAATTTGTTTTCAAAACCAAGAATTTATAACACACACTTTATATTTATAAATACCATCTCCCGTGCCTGAGATTGAGAAAAATCTACCACTCACTTCACTTTAAAATTTTGCAACACTGTATCAAAACATTTGTTTGCATGTTAAGTGCAGGCAAATGTGAACATTCGATGTGAAGACTGGACAGTGGACAAACTACCAAAATTTGACCCTCTGTGAAGTTTGGCATGTTTGGGCCATGCTTACCAAGTGTTATCCTGTGAAACGCTGGGGTTACTGGGCTATCAGTAATGAAATTATGCAGTAGGGCTTATTTAATACTTTCAATATATAAATATACATAATTTCAATCAGCAAATCTCGTAAGAATTTCATATTTGTATGATTTATTGGAAGCATCTTTACAGTTGTCTTTAACAAAAAATGAAAACAAGAAATGGTGCCATTACAATACAGTGTAACACAAACACAGACATAATTTAATAATAGTAACAGAAGAATTATTTATGCCACAAAGTAGCTCTACTGAGTGGAGCGTAAGAGGAATAATAAAGCTCCACTCAGTTGAGCTAGCTGCAAAAAAAAGTAATTTCAGATTGGCAAGTTTGTGAAGTTCAAAAAGTTAGCCAAACAAAAATGTGAGTGTGGTCTCTTGCTCCGCCAGTACAAAATGCTGGTTATGCAGTCATGGTAGCCCCACACGCTGGGCTGTAGTGTCTCTCTTTTACAATCTGCCTTTTTTCTGTCGACAATGGAAAAGAGACACGTTGTTTGTAAAACCATGGAGGAAGGAAAATTGTTTTCCTTCCTCCGTGACACTACAGCCCTACGTATGGGGCTAGCAGTCATGCTATTCACGGCAGTGAGCAGTTTCAACTTCAAAAATGGAAGTGGCTTCCTTGGCACTAGGCCTACGTTCATTTTTATCGCATTATACTACGACGGGCATGACTCGACGGGACGTCAAGTCTAGTCACTCCCCCGACAAGGCCTGATATCCATCTCATATGTACATGTACTTAACCTGTGCTGTCCAAAAGATGTTGAGTAGCACTAGCCAGCTTGACATGTACTTGTTCTCTTAAATTTGTCAAAATACGTGTCACGGGTATGTTGCAACTTGCATTACGCGCGTCACGTGTTCCGCACACCGTACCTCGTTTTCCAATACTCACTTCGGCTCCGTCTGAGGCTTCAACTGTTTTTCTACTAGATGAATTTGAAGCTGTAAGCGCAGTAATTAGTCTAATAGTGCCACAAAACATCAAATAAGATGCAAGAGAGCCATACATTACAGTAATCTAATTAAATTTAAATGCTTTTGGCCCACAATCGGGGATTTGTTTTGGGAACGAGACGGAGCCCGAGTCGAGTATTGGAAAAGGGCCCTAGCTGGACATACGGCATGTACGGTGTCAAAGTTCAAGCGTTAGTCTTGGTTCCAGGTATCAACTTCACAGTTCAGTGTAATGTCGGGAGTCATTAGAGAGCGCCTTGATCACCTCTGCGGCCTGGGTTCCTACCAGATGTTGTGGGTATTAGACTAGTTGCCAAAACATTCCTCTGGTGTCCCCCCCCACCACCTCTAAAACTGTAACTTCTCATTGTCTCCTCCCAACAAGATTCTTCAGGCTTATGAGCTCAGTGCCTAGCCTGGGGGGCTTTCATGACACTGACCGTACGAGCATCACATAAAATACCATTAAAATTACTTTTAAAAAAGAGAATAAGACCACTTACAATGAAACTACTTTAAAAAGACTTAACCAAACATCAATACATGCGAGATATTATAGGTAACCTCCTCCACCCAACAAAGGCACCAAGTTAAGACTTGAACGAAAAAAGAAAAAGAAGCGAAATAATTGTTGTGGAGGTGATTTAAATTTATGATTTTGAACATTGAGAAATAAACAGTAAACTTAGTTAAGAGCCAGTTTAAAAAGATGTTTATTTTATGCTTAAAAATAGCAATGGATTGCGATTGTTGGATACCAGCATGCAACTTATTCCACAGTCCAGGGGCTGCACATAGAAAAGATCTACCCCCCTGACTTGATATTAATTTTTCCAGCGTTCCGTTCAAATGTTTGTTCTTCTCAGTGACGATGCCCCATTAGGAAACTCCGCTGACAGCTTATTTCCAACAATACATCTGTTGAGCGCTGTTTTTGAAAGTGCACAAATTTAAACTTCATAACTGATTGAGCTGAACATGCGCGCGTGACCACATACATTGTAGTTACCAGATCCCTTATTTCGCCACTTACTGTGAAAACCAATCAGACTTGACGATACATGTAGGTGGCGAAATTACTTGGACCTGGCATGTATATGTACAGTCACACACATTAAACATTATTTGTCACAGAAAACGAATACTGTACCATACGGAACACAAGTCACGTTTTCTCAATTCTAGGTCAAGGTGCAACGATTTCACTTTTGTGGTGCACGTTCCAAACTCAAGAAATAGTGCATTGAGGCGTGAAACGCCTGTTCCGTGGCAAACATACGACATGCCATTACATGTATTGCAGCACTGCAGTGGTTTTGGCAGGTCACAATGTTCCGAACTATGAATACATCTACAGTATGAGACCAAGTTCAGACTAATTGGGACATGCCCACGATGGCTGTGCAACTCCTGCAATGTCCTCTGATGGGCAGGAGGACAGACATGTGTACAGGTTCTATAATCATGACCCAGGAGAAAATTCTGGATCTCGCGGAAAAAAAAAATGCGATGATAATACAACAAAGCATGCCTGTCTTCTAGAAAGGCCATCTTCAAGGGCAATTTCAGTCATAGATTGTTGTCCAAAGAAATTTGAATAACAATGTGTTTCAATTTAAAGAACAGCACAAAACTTCATAAAAGGTGATTATGGTTAGACACAGGTTTTATTTTTACTTACATGTTTATTTATGACAACTTTAAAGGAAGGATTTAATCAGGGCTAAGCATAAGCCAAAAGGGATTACATTTATATATCATCATTTACCATTTTGGCACCAGTGAATGTTTCCCTACAAAGAATATTAAACTTCACAATTTCCCTGCAGAAATTTGAAAGAAAGAAATTGCTTCTAGGATAGCGACATTCAGTGGTGTAGTTGGGGGAAAGAGAGACCGAAGACAACAGGCTGGCAAATTTATACAAGCAAAACTGAAAAAGAGACCCCCCAAAAAAATTGGTTGGTGGAAATAAAAAGAACTGAATAATGCTTTCAATTAATGTTCCAAAAGTATCTTGAATCAATACTGCTTAACCAATAGCCTAAAGTTTGTTACCCAGCATAAAATATAGCTCAATGGGATGAAGTTGTAAGGGGAAAACAGAACCTTGGCTCCACAAGACACGTCAGTCAGTAAGAAATAGATAGAGCTTCACAATCGACTTCAAAATGCATGTGTATGTACAGGGGTCTTTCAGGCAATACACAGCCTATTATACAGCTGTTTGAGATATTGTTCTTGATTGGGTATTAGGATAATACTGATCACATGCAAATCATGTACCTCCAAGGTAAAGCCAACCTAAACAATTGCATATATACAAATAGTATCAGAGGTCAAAAACGTCTGAACTCAACCTCCAGTATGTCTCCTAATTCAGATTTACAGTCTGACAATGACCCAGTGTGTTGATTTCTGCATACAAATTGGGTTCACATATCCATGTGTGGACAAGCACTGTGTTCCTGATTTACACAAATGCAATGCAATTGTTCTGCACTCCTTCAAAATGCATCTTGGTGTTTCAATGAACCTTATTTTCAATTTTTCTGCCTCGCTTTTTTCAGAGGTATTCTGGTGCCTTTTTGATTTTACACTAATGAAAATTCAAATACATGTATTCATTAGCAAAACTGTGGTATCATTCCAGGGAGAAACCCCAATGTTGCCAAAACTGTGCGAATTTTTCAGATTTTTCCATCGTAAATTTTTTTTGGGGGGTGGTGATTCATTGCTTCGTAAATACATGGAAATACAGCAATGAGCAAGCATTTCTTGGAAAAGATTTCAAATGAGCAAAAACTGGATTCACAATTTCAACAGAACGGGTAACACATAAGCATTGTCACCCGTGAATGATGTCACAGCATTAATCCCCTAAGTTGTCCAGAAAGCATGGACAAATTAATATGTAGAAAAAAAACACTTTCAATAAACATCCAAAGGGTGTCAAGTAGTTTTCAGACACAGAGTTTGGTATTGCACAAAACAGTGCACCTAAGAAAATTCATAGCATGAACCCTTTAAAAAGTATTAAAGCCAATCTGACTTCAGGAAAGACAGCAAGCGCAGTGCACACAGAAACAAGGAGACGTGAGGTCAAGTCGCAAGTCTAAAGACACCAGTTTCATTGAGCTGCCTCATTCACAGTTCATTTGAATTTTACCCCCAGACAGGTTGAAATTTTATCAGGGGAGTCCTGCTGGATAACCCACTGTTCTCTGCCCACAATTATACCTTTCCAAGCTGTGATTCTAACAAAATGCCATTAATTGTTTGTCCCAGTTCATTTGGACCGCTTAGACTTGCAGGGCCTTGTGGAAGACGTGACTAACAACAATGATATTTCCCCTAGCGGACCAGCCTGTGCACTTGAGATCAGAAGAACAGGAAGTAACTTACAACCCTTTTTACAGATTTAATTACAATACATGATAAAAGGTCGAAAAGCTAACACGCAATAAAGCCATGCAAGACATTTCCTGATGAACAGTGGCATTCTCAAATGTATTCCCTAACAGTGGTACACCTAGGATTAGTCCCCATCGTGTGGAATTAGTCTCTAAAAAAGAGGTGCCAATTATTGTCTGGAGACGTTTTTGTAAGCTATGTAGGAAAATGTGAGCTACAGTGTAGGAATATTTTTGTAATGTTGGCTCTTTAAATTCTGAGAACAGCAAAAAGGGGCAAATTCTGGGGAGGGGGCAAGATGCCCCTCCCTCCTCCCTCACATTACATTTTCCACTGTTTCCTACCCATTACACCTTTCAAAGCTGGGATTCTTACAAAGATCATTTAATACATGTACATAATTTGCCATTACCCTTTCAGAGTTAGAAGATACTAGCAGATAACAACACCAGCAACCCTGTGAACTGATGACAATTCGGTTACAAAATGTACAATTTATTTCCTGCAGGAATGGCAGCCAGTAACTATGATAACACCTCACCCAAAGATTCAGTCTTTTGACAGGCCGAGAGCCAGTCACATGGCACATGCTGTTTTGCTATCTTGCTTTTCATGGCCAAAAGAACTGCACCCGTAGCAACCAAAGAACTATACACGTGACCAACGGCGTTATATTTGTGTGCAAGGGCATGTACTGGTGTGCACATTGCACCTGGGTTCAAGTATTTCATGAGGAGGTAGTTCAGAAAAACTGCAGGTCAATTTTCACCAAATTTCTTATTCAAACAGAAACACCTTGTAAATGTAGTTGGATTCAATTAATCAGTTGTCGCTGATTAATCAGTTTTGGTAGAAAGTTGCAAACAAATTCCATAAGCAGCTATCTGTATACAATCCCTGGACAAAATTTAAAATACCCAACTGGTTAAAACAAATGAAAAACACAGCCCATTTTCAAAAACTAACAAGACCATCAAGTTTGATGTCCATTTCATCTTTAAAGTATTTCTGGCAAACCAAGATCTCTGTAGAGAAAACTGATTCTTGCCGGGCAAAACTTTCTTCTCTGAAAACTCTTGGATGTGTCAAGTAGAACTTTAACAGACAACTCACAAAGAGGTCAACTGTACCCACTGACCTCTTGACCTTGTGGCAAGGGGGCAAAACTGTCTGATATTCCTGGGTCCCTGACGATGGATCCATGATCACGGTCCCTTGAGAGCCACAGTCTCTCTCACTCACAGATCCTCAAACTTATCAATGGGGTAGTGCTCCTTGTACTGCTCCACATGTCGCTTCACTTCCTCAGCTTGCCGGGTGAGCCTCTTGGAGGACTTATCAAAAACGTCTGTCAACATGTACCTCGGTGACGGCTTCTTGAGTTTTTCGGCCGCCTGGAAGTTCTGCATGATCTGTTATTTTTGGTTTTCAGTGACAAAGGAGAAAAACAAATCCAATCAACAGTGGCATATCGGCCAGGGGAGGCTGCATCACTTTCTACCTGTCATCAAAGGTACGAGGCAACATCAAATCCTTATGAAGTGGGGGAACTGTTACTGCTGAATTTAAGACGTGACTTGAATTGGTTTTGTTCCAGTAACTATCAAATTTGGAATATAAATGGCATGAATATGAAAGGCATCATCAGGTGAAAAAGTTACGGTTAATTTGAAGTGAGGGACACTCACTGTCATACGGATTCACCTCATGCAAACTTGGGCAATTAAAATAAGGGGTTTTGCATAGTCTTGCAAAAACTGGTCTTGTTCTCTGTGCACCAAAGACTGACTGAGGTTTGACTGCACCTGTCTTAATTTGCACGTACCATCAGCGAGGTGCCATCATGAGAGTTGGCCATGTGGCACCTTCTACAATTTCTAAAAAGTGTCCAGAGAGTGACCAAAGAAAACTGCAAGGCATCGCCTTTCAAGACGCTCAGCGTGTGTATGGAACAGATATAAATTGGCCAAAGAAAAGTTATACTCAAAGAGGAGATAATTTTTGTCTGGATTCTGAACTAACCTCCTTCTTAACCTCCGCCAGCCATGCCTTGTCTCGGTCCACATCCCACCAGTTCTTGCTAAGCATGTAGTTGTAGAGACGGCCAATTGGGTGGCCCTCTCTATCCCAGTATTTGACCTCATCCACTGACCGGTAGGCCGAGGAGTCATCACTGGTGCTGTGGTGACCAATTCTGGAACGCGAAGGGAAAATGCACATGCTTCAAATACAAGCAAAAACTCATACAAGATTCCCAATCGGCAAGTTCTCTTCAAGTGGTAACAGTTTGGACTGAGCAAAAGTGGTTGAAGCAGGTGTTGCTGACTTGAGTTACTGACTTGGACTGGGGTGACTTGCAATTTGACATGAATAAATTTGACTTGCTGACACTATCAACAGTGTTTGCCCTTAATTTTTTTTTTCAACTGGCCAGCAGGGCCAGCAGGACCAGCTGGCCTAGGTTTTAGCTGACCCACAGACATTTTAACTGGTCCTGATCAGATAGTCTGTGTTTACAAAAATCTGTTCACGGAGAAAAACTAAACTTCAGTAATAATAGTTTCATTTACAATAATTTAATTGGTAGTATATTTTAACCTTTTCCTCCCAGTGACTTAAGAGAGTTTTGAACCACATTCACCACTCCTATTCATGCTCACAATTGTTCATCTACTTTATAACCCAGAAATTACTCTCAAAATTTCTTATGACAAAAATCCTATTATATGCAGATTTTCTGACAAAGTATTTCTTAATTTAACAAAATCATTTTCTATAAAAGAATTCTGGTGAAGTTAAAAAGGAGGACTTGTTTTGTTTAAAGTTTGACACATCTTTTTCGACAGCACTAGAGCGAGTTCACCAACCACATCCCCCATACCACAAGTGACCAACCCATTATGTCACGTAAAAACCAATTATGCACATGTAGTTGAGTCCATTGCATGTGTGTGTTCGTGATCCAAAACTAGAAAAACTTGCAGACAAAATAGACCAAGCCTCAACTCTGGAGGCCCATTTCAGACACAGCTGAAACCAATCTACATGTACACATGTGCCGGCCGGGTTGCTGCTGCACATTTCGCCAGGCTGGGCTGACTAGCAGCCCGGACCGCCGCAGCACAGCATGTGCTGCAGCATTTTAAGATGATCATCCAACAAACGTTGGATGAAATACACGTACATTTATGTATTGCAAATGGAAGCCTACGGCATGCATGCTTCACACGGTATGTACGGCGCAGTGTGCCGGGTCCACAAGCTGGGCTGGTCTGGCCGTATGAGGCATGCAGACGATCATGTGCTGGAAGGCCATACCACGAAAAAAAAGTGAATTTGAGGTCAAAAACTAAGTTGATGATGTAATACATTTCAAGCCTTCGATAACAGAGCTCCATTCTTTATAAACAATCACCATGGTGGTTTGCATGGGACACTGGATCTGTTCAATGCAACTGTTCAGCTGGCCAGCCGGGCCATTTGAGGATGTTTCTACGCCGGGCCCCACATGATATCAACTGTGGTACAAATCTTGACTTTCTGTCTGCCCTGAGTTGAAGTGCACCTTCATCAGCAGAGATGAGACAAACAGGGCGGTGCACACTGCCTGGTTGACACACAAAGACCATAACAGTGTCCTCTCTTCTTCCCACTTTGAGCACGTGACCAAAACCGGACATGTCTGTAGTAGCACTTTATTAACCACTTGCTGTCGGGTGGCTTGAAAAATGCAGTGCATATAATCGGGACTTTTTCAAGATTTTCATTTTTCAAAATTCTTCAAAATTTCATCATTTCAATTAATGGACGTTTACACCCATATAAATTACTGTCTGGTCGCTACTCTAGTCTGACAGACACATCTATTGATGCCTGAGTATTTCAGCCAGGCCTGCAGCCTTGTAAAAAGAGCCCAGATTGTGTGCTGTTATGTAATGTTATGTAATTTTCTTTTGTTCACAAACCAGGCACAGTGCGCTGCTGACCTTTTTTCAATAGGGGCCAGATTAGCATGCAGCGGTGCTGTGTGGCTCATCCCTGCAGTGGTGGAACGCTTTTGTCCCCGGTGGTAATCCGCTCATGCTAAATGCCCAAAACCGTGGTATACTGTTTCAAAACAAGGCTGGATTATCTCCACTATTGAGAGTGAAAAAATATCGGTAATGCCCAGCAGCCTGGTCTTTTGTTTCGAGTACGGTCTTTTGTTACAAGGCCCGGTTTCCTTTGTCCGATTTCGGACACCCCGGCCACTCGTATAAAGAATACGTGTCCGGTACCGGAAACCCCGGCGGCAAGTGGTTAATAACCACTTTAAATATTTGCCAGTGTATCAGGGTAAATGAGGCAGACAAATTTGAGCTGTCTTTGCAAACTCCTCAGACAACGCCAAGAAAGGATTTCTCAGAAAGTGTACAAGTACCACTTCAATTATGGTTTTTAGACAAACGTGAAAAACTGACTCAGAATTTACGACTTGGCTATGATTTAACCTGACAAAAATGACTTGTGGCGTGACTACTGGAAAATTACTTGAGACTTGACTTGTAGAAAACTGATTTGAGTTGGAGCAGTGGTTGAGGTACAAGCGGGTTTTGTAAGGGACAAAAACCCAGGCCATTTGCATGGATGCTACGAGACCAATTTCAACAGGCTGTGGCCATAAAAACTTATGTTGAACCATGATGGGCTTTAATGTAGGAAGAAAAGACTTCCCCAGAAAATGTGCATGATTCAAAAGATTGTAGATAGCACAATGGTGGGAATGGGACAGGTGTGGCAGTAAGAGAAGGGCGGTGACCATCATCTGAAAACCAGTAGACAGGAATGGGCACCAATTGACAGCAGGTGGTACTGTCTCCCAGCTGCTCGGACAATATGGATGATTTATAATACAGAGCACCACCAAGAGGTTGGCTGGGTATGATCACTTGTCACAGTGCATTGTGGGAAATGTCAACATATTCTATTTGCCTGCAGACAACTTGAATTATTCCCAATGTTTGTCAGGAAAAAAATGTGTCAGTAGCAGTTTTAAAGAATCCTTTCTTCTTTCTATTGCATAGAATGTCCCAATCTATCAACAATATCCCCAAGTTGTCTTCTGACATCCGATGAAATGCAAGTTGCACTAAGGTGGCCATGCTTTTGTCCCTGAAACTTGGAAAGTAACACTTCCGTAACAACTTTTTTGGTAGGGCACTGTATTGTGAATCGTCCTATTCTACCAACAAATATAATAAGGGAGGCTTCACCCTTGGTAACCTTCCAGGATGCTGGTTAACAACTGAAGCGTGTTTAAAACCCCAAAAGCCCTATTTTTGGAACAGGTGAGAGGTGCTCACCTGTATGTCATTGCCTCTATCAGGACCGGCTTGCTCTCGGTGACTGCTATCTGTCGTGCAGCTTTTGTGGCGTTATAGACAGCAAAGACATCGTTGCCATCAACTCGAATACTGGTGATGCCATAGGCTGGACCACGGCAAGCTGTTAGGATTGAGGTACAGCACCATTAAGCAAATGAACCATTTATAACACCCTGGATGTAACTATTTTCAAAGGTAGTGCACATTTCAGATGACAGAGATGACAGCGAAGGAACAGCATCTTTTAAAGCATCAATATTTTAAAATTGATCTTAAATTTGACCAACCCATGATTCCAATCACCAGTGAATGGTTAACGCCAACAAAGTTTTGGGGACATCAGAATATTAAATCTTCCTCACACAAACGAAAAACATAAAAGGTCTTCTTTTCAGGTTTATTTAGTTAACACGAATAACAAGTGAAATAAATTCCTCTCTGTTTTATATTTACTCTAATCTATGAATTTTCTATAAAAACAAGTGTCAGTTTGAAACCCATTTTTCAATCTCAAATACCAACATCGGTGCATGCATGAAACTATCGGTTACACCACCAACTACTACAGCAAGTGCCCTTTACTAAAAGTTCAAGTTCCCCTTACCAATTCCATCGCCTCTGTACTGCTCTGACGTTGGCGTTGATATCGCATATCCATTGTTGCGGCTGCACAGAATTGTGAGAAGAATCCATACTTTATTTTTCTTTTATCCAGAATCACTTCATCCCTGCTTGCCCCCTTGTACCCAGGAGTACAATAGGCCTAGGTGGTGGTGGCGTCACACTTTGTTTACATGTGCACTTTCCTACGGAGCCAGTGGGTAGCCTGAGCACTGGCACAGGAAAGCACACATGTAAACAGTGTGGCGGCATCAGTACAGAGGTCCATTCAGTACCTGCATTAGTAACCTGGGAAGGACTGGTATCCCATCCGGTGGGGAATAGAAATACATGTATTCCTAGTTGTTTCATGCCAAGAAGAAAGTAAACCGGGGATGAACACCATCCTGATAAGCCAGATTTGGGTTGGGACAGACCTGCTTTTTCAAGAATGCACATGGTCTTCAAGCGTACATGTAGTGTCTTTGAGCAGGATTATGTTGCAGCAATCACTTGTACATGTAGATCAGACTGCATAATTTATAACAATGAGTTAGCCTAACCCAAGTCTGTGGTACAGACATTAAACAAGTCAGATTTTGCAATTGCTCACATATATTAAAAACACAGCCTAAAATTGGTCTCCTTCGACAAACAGTTCAAATATGATATATAGTGTGTGTGGGTGTGTGAAAAGATGATGGTACTTTCCAATTCAGTGATACTTCATCTCTGGCGACTTGCAATAATTCCTGGTTGGAGCATGAGAAGAATCTAGCTTTTTTATATCCGATAAAGTTTGATTGTGGGTGGACAAAAGAACAATTGTTCAGTTTATCTTGTCAGTTGACTGGTGGTGCGAATAGAGGACTATTTTTTAAAATCCTTTCGGTAGCAATAGCATGCTTTCGTTCCTTCGTATGGGACTCATTAGTTGAATTATGGGTGATTCCAGAGACAGAATCGTACGTATTGGTTCGAGATTTAGTTTGTGACCCAAGAGCAGGCATATTTTGGGTTGTTATAGGGCAGCCATTTTATTCTATTTCGGTTTTTTCTTCAAGTAGGGAGAGCAGTATATTTAGTGTTTCATCTTGTTCTTCTGGACGTTTGTAGAAGCCCGGGGTCAGTGGAGATCGAGTTGGGCTCTGTTATGTTTTGCGGTAGTTTAACTTTCACTAGTTTTTCTTTCTTTTTTTTTTTAAAGCAACGAATGGAGTTTCCGGAAAGATTTCCAAGAGTAGTGCATTTCTTTAAATGAGGTGCCAATATCTGCTTATTGCTTGATGTAGATCACGGTGGTTAATGGTTGGGTTGTAGGTGGTAACAAAGACTTGTTTCTTTTTGTTTTGTCCTTTGTATTGTTTATTAGCCTTGGTCGTTCGGCACGTGATACTTTGGATGTCACTGGTTCGATCTCTGTTGGTATGTACCCTCCAGTGAGTAGTTTCTCCGAAAATGATTTGACTTTGTGTTGAAAATCCTCCTCGTTGGTTGTGTTCCTAGCATGTCGGAGGGTTTCCCCGTATATCAATGCTCGGAAAATGTGAGGTGCGTGGGAGGAAGTTTTACTGCTACCAAGAGGATTTGAAAAAATAGTCCTCTACCCGCATCACCAGTCAACTGACAAGTAAACTGAACAATTGTTCATGTTCTTATATTCGCCCACAATCAAACCTTTATCGGACATCAAAAGGCCAGATTCTTTTTATTCTCGAACCAGGAGTTACCGATATTGCAAGTCACTAGAGATAAAGTGTCACTGAATAGCAAAGTACCATCATCTTTTCGCACAGCACTATACATAACGAAATGCATTTACCAGAAAAATATACAAGGTGCGTCTAAGGTGGCGGCAAAGTTCAGCGCTGCATGGGCGTCACCCTCACTGGCTGCTCCATCACCAAAATAGCAGACGGTACAGATGTCAAGCCCCGCCCGCTTCAGGGCAAACGCAGCACCAGCAGCTAGAACAAAAGCCACACACATCATAATTCTTCATTTAATAAGTCTCCTAACCCTAACACTCCTAAATCCTCCAATTTCAATACGATTTTACATACACCCTAGGGGGTTAGGGCTAATGGTCATTTTTTCATAACTAGAAGTGTTGTTCAGTCAATTGTGAGATTGTCGCAATTCAGCCAGTCTAAGGTCTCACACTATGCCAGTGAAATGTGACAATGGCCTTCCTAAGTGACAAACTTTTGGGATGGACTTGACTTCCATTCTGCAAGTAACAACAATTGTTTCAAATACCACTTCAAAGTAACATATCTTCAGAATACTATATCTAATGTACTCTGTTGACAGCCTGCAAAACATTTGATCAGGCTCTGGTTGGCACAATCTGCTCCCAGCAGTACTCACTGCATAGGCGGGCCATGAGGTATGCAAGTATATGCGCGCTTGACGCGGAGCATGCTGAGTATGTGTAACTAATTTATTCCGGCATGTATGGTCTTTGCGTACAAGCTCAACGCGTGCAAGAACCCACATGTAACCACCTGTCTTTCTGTCAACGATTAGGGTGCACTTCAGCTACAGGCGTATAATTTGGCCATTACTGGGGGCTGTCGCGGTGTACAGTACTCTTGTGCTCTGATTAGTCTCAGTAATGACAAAGAGATAGGCATCTTGTGCACAGCCTGTTTGTATGGGTTCATACACATTCATGAATGCGTGTTTCCCTTGCATACTCCATGCCACAACTGTGCATATATTAGGGCTGTGCTGACTATACAAATGTTCAATCGATTATCGAATAGTATTTTCCAAATTTTAATATTTGAATGCAAAAATTCATGGAGAGGGATGATTTTTTTTATTTAAATGAGAAAAATCGCACTATGGAAGCATGTTTCAAGCAGATTCAACGAACAGCTACAGACTGTGATTCAAAAGTAAATTATTCTTTAAAAAATTAAAAAGGAATAGAAATTTTCAACACGGCAAGAAGTATTGTTCATCTGTTAAATCTCGCTAAATCATGGCTGGAAATATTTCTAGAATTGAGAAGCTATTATAGTGATTATAAGGTACAATTGTGTGCCTTCTTGCGACTGATTTTGTTCATCAACAATCTGCTGGGCTGTACGACCGAATATTTGGATATTCGATAGAATTGAAGGTTGAATATTCAAATAGTGAAGTATTCGAATTGACTCAGCCTTAGCACAAGAGGTGCTTTAGCCAAAGGGATGTTGTTACTGTAACAAACCATCCTTTTCTTTTCTGCTAATCTCAAAACCAAGATTGAAAGTTGAAAAATGAAAACACATTTTCACAACAAAGTTATTTAAGAAAAAGTTTCAAGAAAAAAATTTAAATCCAAATTTCAACAGTATTCTGGAACAGATTTGATGATCTGGTATTTCACCGTTAGCCGTTGGCTACAAAGGATACCTACCATGGGGCATCTGCGTGGCAAGAGGGGAGGATATGGCCATGAAGCCATGCTCCTTGGATCCATAATGCACGGGCATCTGTCTCCCTTTGCCAGTATCATCCTTGTTACCATAGCACTGATTCATCATTTTCTCCATGGGGAAACCTCGCCAGAGCAATACGCCTACACACAAGGAATTTAACAGGGGAAAGTACGATACCAAATAAAGCTTACTGGAAACAGGCATTAAGCACTTGCCTCCGGGGTTTCTGGTAACAGACACATATTTTTATACGAATGGCCAGGGTGTCAGAAATCGGACAAAGGGAATTGGGCCTTGTAACAAAAGACTGTACTGGTGACAAAAGACCACGCTGTTGCACATTACCAACATTTTTTCACTCTCAATAGTGGAGATAATCCAGCCTTGTTTTGAAACAGTATGCCACAGTTTTGGGGATTTAGTGCAAGTGGATTACCACTTGGGACAAAAGTACTCCACCATCATCATGGCCATGAGCCACACAGTATTGATGCACGCTAATCTGGCCCCTATTGAAAACAGGTCAGCAGCACACTGTGCCAGTTTTGTGAACAAAAGAAAATTATGTAACACTGCAAAATCTGGGTTCTTTTTACTAGGCGGCAGGCCTGGCTGAAACAGTCCAGCGTCAATAGATGTTGTCTGTCAGATAAGTGTAGAAACCAAGCAGTCCTTCGTGTGGGTGTAAGTCTCCAGTAAATGAAGATAGGAATTTTTAAAGAATTTTGAAAACAGAAAAAAAGGATAATTATCCCACCCCAGCATCATCATAACTGATAACTGCCACCGGCGTGAAGTGGCTAATACGCATGTATATTGATGTTAGAAGGGGAAAGTAACATTTTGCCTAATCACATAGCATTCTGGCATTCATCTATAAGTACAAAATCTGAATAATTGTTTCAGTTTGAATGTACCCAACAAAGTGGACAAACATTTTTCACAGGCATCCAAATCCCTCCAAGTTTTCCTCAGATACCCAACTGAATTCAACGGCATGCAAAGCAAGGACAAGCCATGTTCTCATGGACTTTCTTTTCTGTTCCCTTGTAGAACCTTACTGCAACTCCCTGTTAATTCCTTTGGGTGAAACCTCTGCGCGTTCCTACTTGGACTTTTTTTAATTGTCCATGTGACTGGCTAATGTGCTACAGCATAGCCGCCTGAAGTGTATCTTCAGTCAGATACCATGTTGCTCATGCAGTTACATACAAGCTGATAGTTTCCTTCATTTCTTCCACACTACCAAAACTGGCTTTACTGGCACAAAACCTGTCATATTTCCAACCATCTGGATTAAATCTTCCACACTATTCGTCAGGCAGAAGACAAAAACTGCAACAAAAATTAGCCTTTTGGGCACGTGTGTATTGGTGCAGTGCACACAAAGGGGTCAGGGAACCATTCTTCACATGATGAAGTATTTTACACGGCACTCACAAAAGTGTGACGGTGTGGCACTGTTTGCGTTGGTTCAATCAGGGGCCCTCTAATACTACTTTCCACAGACAGTTTCTGCTACCACTTCAACCCCCAAATCTGCTGGGAACTGTGATGTGAAACCTATTGCTAGAGTTATGTCAATTTTCTGTGAATTCCAATTTGACTTAGTTTGGTAATTCTTTTTGCACTTTAAACCCAAAAATCTAATGGGAACATGGCACTTGTAAGTCTACAGAATGCATCAGCATTCAACACTAAGAACAAAAGTGGCCAAATTTGTTGATCACGCCGCTTTGGTCCAAAGGATGCTTGCGGTTGGAGAGTATTGCTTTCTGATGTAACCTCTGACCTTACCTCCTTCTCTGTACTGGCCATATATTATGTCTCTGTCATCCAGTGCTGCTGCACTGCCCACATGTGTGCCTTCCTCTCCATAGGCTGTCATGTAGAAGGAAATTCTCCCCTGCTCGAAACAAGCAAAGAACAAAATGCTGACATCAGTTCATTACGCTTTATGAGCTACAATCTGATTGGTCTGATTTTGAAAGACTTTCCTTCAAAAACTGTTACAACATGTCAATTCAAGCTCTCTGCTCTCTTGTTACCAAGCTTTTTAATAGACTCGAGCAAACACAGAAACACTTTGGAAGCAATCCCCACAGCAAACTGCACTTGCCCTGAATAAACCCTTTTGATGTCTCCACAGCATTCTGGGTAACAAGTGGAGAACAAGAAGTTTAACATCAATGATACTTGACACTGTCCTAATTGGCCTGCTTCATACTTCGGCCATTTTGAATCAAAAGTGAGGCAATTGATCCCTGTAAACCTTTTCTATGAACTAATATCAAGTGTACATGTAGGAACAAAAGATGATTCAATAGCCCTGAGTAAATGACAGTTTGCCTTTCTGGTGCTCAGATGGGTAGTTCCACATTATGGGCAAAACAGCATGTCACCTAGTTTGCCAAAATGGAGTATATGATTGTCAAACTGAGTCTATGTCACTTATTCTGGAAAATAGTAAGGCATCTGTCCATTTGAGAGAGTTCAACAAATACAGTGACTTCAGGGAACCTGATCCAATATGGCCATCTTGTGAATATGGCTCAATTCCTAAACTTGTCATAGCATGCACATGTATCCTTAAATGGACAGGGTATCTTTTCAGGGTATGAGAAACATAGGCATATCCACTTCAAAAGCTCTTAAAACAGGGACAGAAAGAGTTCCATGCACAAATGCCACTTGATACTTTGTGGATTTACACTTTGAGACTTTGTAAAAACAAATTCTTTGTAAACAACTCGATATTTTCCCCCTAAATTGAACTTTTCTGGTCATGCTTTTGCTTTCTGATAGTCAACAGGTCACTGTCGTGAATAATTACTGGCATCTGCTTATGGAACTCTTTCCTCAGGGACAAAGTCTAAGAAAATTTTATTTGGGGTAACGCAGCATCAGCCACAAATTCCAAGTGTAGGCATGGAACTGAAAGAACCAATCAGAATTGCCAAACGTACCAATCACAACCAATCACACTTGTTCTACTGCATTTCTCTACTTTAAGTACATGAGAATTGAGGACATCAGTGAACAAAACCATTTAATGCCTCACAAATGACTGAAAATAAACTTTACAAACCATTTGACAAATGCACACCGCTTCTCAAGAAAAGTTGGGTAGTGGATACATGTACTTCAGGGTTTTGATGAGGACAATACCCACCTGACGCTGTGACTCGTACATGATTTTGTCCATGGCATTGAGGGTCGTCATGTTCTTGTACATCTTCTCCACAACCGCCTGGTCAAGGCCCGGGTCCTGGCTGGGCTCAATGATCTTGCCCATCTTGTTCATCACCCGGTAGACTGGAATGGGCTCATAGACGTCCCTTCCCAGGAACCTGAGCTGCTCTGTGTAGGTGGAGCTGGCTCCGGGGAAAAGGGGCTTGTCCTCGCCTACTTCAGGGAACTCTTGGCAGACATTGTGCTGAGCAAGGATTAGGGATGTTAACATTCACTACTGTTAAATGATTACAAATCACTTTGAACTTCACCAACATGCCAAATATGAAAGTTAATTAGTGAGTAATAACCCATGTAGACAATACATGTTTGACAAATATGACAAATAGGCTGGTGCTAGGCTTACATTATCATTGCGATATGTATACTTGGGGTGGGAATCAGACCTAAAAAAATTTCGGATCTTCCCCTCTCAGAAATCCTTAAAACAAATTAGTAAAAGAAAACAAATCAGATCCAAAGAAAACTCAGACTTCAGGCCTACTTCCCTTATTCAAAAACTCATCGAGACCAACGAATTAGGGAAAAAAATGAAATCATCAAATAAAATAAAAGTGCAGGAAAGAGTTCCACAAATAGACAAGACTTCTTTTCCCTTAAAATGTTATAACAGCCATTAGAATGTGATAACATGTCAGTGAAATTTAGCTGGGAAAATTCCCAAACATTTACTTAGAAAGCACTTGAGGTTTTTTTCAGGCAAGTCTTATAGGTTTGTGCACAGAGGCATCAGGTGTTGCCTGTACGTGGAACTCTCTCCAAAGTTTGTTCCAATTTGAATAGACCTACATCCTCTACTCTATGGTTTCTACATGTGAGCTCTATCCATTGTGCCAAAGCAGCTCGCAGGCCTGTGATTTTTTGTATTCACAGGCAAACATGCTGCATGCATGGTCATCAAACATATAAACATTAAACATCTAAACTGCTGCCAAAGTTTTGGAAGAGCCCATTAGTACATGTAGTATCTTATCGCTCAGTCTGTGCATTACATGTGTCTCGACATGGAACAGCCGTCGAGAAGATTAGGGGTCAAGTGACGTAAAGTTCAACGACCTTATTTTAAAATGGTGACTGTGAGAGCGAGCCAGTTAGATTGAATGGATAAAGGCAAAACGACTGAAAAATAACTGAATAACGTGAGTGAAATCATTCAATAAATGGTTTTTAGAAAGCGGAAAGGTCAAGGATCATGTTCATATGCAAAAGAAATTGCGTCCACGCCAAAAATGTTCAGTACGCCGACACGAAATTGCGTATACGGATGTGTGGCTAAGGATGGGTCGGGAGTGAGAGTCTGTGACACACGAGTGGGGCTAGGATAGCCCCACACATAGGGCTGTAGTGGCTCTCTTTTACAATCTGTCTCTTATCTGTGTAGTGGCGAAAGATAAGTTTTAAGAGACAGATTGTAAAAGAGAGCCACTACAGCCCTACGTGGGAGCTCGCCTAACGTTAGGCATGCTTTGCTAGGCCGTGATGTAGGCTACAGGCAATTCCTCAACATCATTAATACAACTACTAACTAGCCTAGGCCCTACCGATAATGATAACGATCTATGAAATGATGACGGTGTTGGATTTCGATTGAAGTTGCGGAGAAGCTTCAAAATCCGCCGATAAGTTGTGGGTCGTAGTGATGCCATCTTGGTCTTGTAGCAGTTGTGCTGTACAGGCTCGGCAACACAACAGGACACGTACACAGGACAGGGCCGGTCATCACCTCCTGCCTGACATGCGGGTCTAATAATTGATAATCTACGCAGCGCAGACGTAGCTTGTGTACGTGCGCATGTGCCCAGACTTCTCCAACAGCTTAAAGCATGCATGGCTTTACGGTTTGCCAACGGTTTCTGTCTAAATGATCCCCCAATCTCCCGTCAGTGGAGCCATTAGCAAAATTTAGTCTTCGTTTTAGCAGTGGCTTTATCTCGGAAGCAAACAAGAAGTACTCCAGTTTTATCTCCTAATGATGGGGTTTGATGTTCTGAAGCGTAAAATGGAGCACTTTTAGCTGGAAGATTTTTGACTTGAGACTTTTGTTAAAACTCGAGTCAGTGGCGTAACTACGCAGGTACGTGCTCAGTCCCCTCCCCCAGCGCGTGCCTGTACCTCCCCCCCCGAACATTTGAAATTGCTGTTGAGGTTATGCAGCCTAGTTTCATTTCATTTCGTTCATTATTTCTCAGGTATATTTACAATAAACAACACAAAGGGAAACAGAACCACAACAAAAGAAGAAATACAGGGACAAAAGAGTTTGGCCTTATAACAAAAGACCGTGATCAGCACAAAAGGCATTTCGAGCGAGCGGATTACCACCGGGGACAAAAGCACTCCACTACCACAGTGATGAGCGACACTGCGCGATGAAAAGAGGTCAGCCGTGCATGGTGCCGGTTTCGGGAACGAAAGAATCTTTCGTAACACCGCACAATCTGGGCTCTTTTCCAAGGCTGCAGACCTGACTGAAATATTCAGGAGTCAATGAATTTTACCTGTCAGCTTTAGAGTAGTGCCCAAAGAGTCCTTCATTTTGGTATATTTTTAGTAAGCCCAGCTATGTCCTCCCCCATCGGATTTAGCGACCATCTTACGGTGTACCCTAAGCAATCCATCAGAAAGCCCAACTCTTTACACTCACGGGAGTCGCGTTCGCCCAATGAGAGATTCT